GCCATTGAGTTGCACAGCTCCAGGTGGTTGGTTCCCTTGGAGTTGTGCAGCACAGCAGCCCTGACAAAGCCTATCATATTCATCTTTTTTTTTTTTTTTTGAGACAGGGTCTCACTCTATTGTTAAGGTTAGAGTATAGTGGTGTCATCATAGCTAACTGCAGCCTCTGACTCCTGGGCTCAAGCAATCCTCCTGTCTCAGCCTCCCGAGTAGCTGCAACTACAGGCACATACTAACACGCCTAGCTAATTTTTTTATTTTTTGTAGAGCTGGGGTCTTGCTGTTGCCCAGGCTGGTCTCTAACTCCTGGGCTCAAGCGATCCTCCCACCTTGGCCTCCCATAGTGCTAAGATTACAGGAGTGAGCCACCAGGCCCAGCCCACATTCATCCTTGATTTGCCTTAAGACAGAGCATCATACATAACAGATGCTCAACGAAGATGTGTTGAAGTTAATTGAATGTCACAAAGGATACAAATAGTACTCTTTAAGATAATTGTCACATCATTTTGTTTGTTCATGCCTGGCTTTCCAGGAGACTAAATGCCTTGTGTGTAGAGACTGAATCTCTTCATCTTTGGAAGTACAGGGTCTTCCAGAGGAGACAGGAGGTGCTCACAGACTATTTGTCCAATGAATAAGTGCAGAGTCATGACAGTGATTTCAGTAGTAGAGTTGGTTTGAGGAATTGGTGAGTTTATTCCATAAAATAAATCCTAATTTTATTTTATATCTTGATTTTTGTGGTGGGTGGGACTGAGCAGCCAACAAGGAGAGCCTGCCAGAACTGAGCAAAGCTCAGCAGAACAAGCTGAAACATCTTACCATCGTGAGCTTGGCATCGAGAATGAAGGTATGGACTTGAAACTCTTCCTATTTTCCTCCTCACCCCAAGTCAAGTGTCTCATTGGCATCAATCAGGGAACTCCCAGCTACACACAGTAGAGTCACATCATGAATGCATAGCATTTGCTTGGCAAAGGAAAAAAGAGGGAAAGATAATTAAAATGTTATAGACAATTACTCTCCATTTCATACAGGAAAAGCATGCCCAGCAGTGATTATGAATCAGCAGGTGTTAGTTCTGGCGTGTCATGATGCCTCTTGTGGTGTGAGCATTTATTTGCCTTGCTAATGGGAACCTGTTGTTTAAAGATACACATTTTTTTCGAACAGCAAGGTATCTCAAGACAAGTTAGTAACTTCTTCTGTTGCTCAGCGTGCAGTGGGCTGTGCCCATGCTGGAGGAAGAATTTGCTATGTTCAACTTACTGAGAAGTAGATTTTCAATATTCTACCTTTCTCTGGGATTTTCAAGGTTAATTACTGTAATTGGAATTTTGCCTTATGTGCTAACTTTAGACCCTACCCTTCTACAAGATACCAGCCCGTCTACTGTATCTGCAAGTTCTCTGCCCCAGTTGGTTTAGAAGAAGCCTTGCAGCCAGCTGCTCACAGTCATTAATAACGAAGGTCCAGATTTGGTTAATTCGTAGTTGATTTTGGCTGTTTACCTAATCCGAGCTTAAATGTCTTAAGTTTTAGTGGGACTATGCCTTTGAAAAAGTTTTTTTTTGTATTTCTTCTCTGTGATACAGCTTGAAAATATATTTTTGTTCTTGGATTGGCTTTTTCAACCGCTAAAATCATTTTGCCTGATGTAATCATAAATTTCTGATTCTCAGCCTGGCATTTCAGGTAGCAGGCCTATTTTGTTGGGAAATGAGGACTTGACCTTTTTTCTTGTCTTGATCATGGACTTCTCAAGTGTATTAAAGAATAGGAGTGACCTTTTTCTTCATTTCTGTAACCTGTCATTGTAAGCCCACCTACTGCCCCTGGATATCCCACCTTTAGCCATAGAAAACCCTTCTGGGTATGTTTGCTCTTACTCTCTTCTCTGTATGTATTTTCCTCCTGTCTGTACAGATTTATCACTATTAATTTCCAAACCGTTAGTCATGTGTCAGAGGATTTGCAGAAAACTGTATATTTAGGTATCCTCTTGTCTTGGAGTCATGCAGAATATTGGTACAGCCCAATAAAGGATCATAGTTGGGGAATTAATACTGGTTGCAAGAGTGAGAAAACACATGCAAACTTCAGGATGACCTCTGAGCTGGCAGTTCCCACTGGCCACCTGTAGATGGAAGTGCTGGCCTGAAAGTTTTTTGCTTGTACTCTGCTGGGTAAGCAGCCAGTTCTCTCCTCTAGTGTCTCGGGTCTATTGGAGGTTTATGATGATCTGGCATTTTATGCAAAGTCTACAAGCTTCCAGAAGGTGGCAGAGTGGCATATACTGAGCATTTCCCTTTCTCTCCTTTGGAAGGAGTTTTTAGAATCTCTGAGGATGCTCCAGCACATGAAAACTGAAGGCTGGGCAAAGTTCAGGAGGCAGAAAACCAGGAGGATGCTTTCCTACATGCTATGGCGTCTTGTTTGGGTCTCATAGGTCTGACAAGTTCACTTATCCATCTTTTGTTGCCCTAGATATTAATAATTACCACTAGTCTGCATGTCCCAAGCCAGAGGCAGCTGTTGGCTATGTGAGTAATACCTGCATTTTCATTAATGCTTGCCAGATGGTTTTTATAATGATCACATGGCCCTATCTACAGTGTATCCCTTACTCTGTGCTGCTGAAGGACCTGGAGATGCGGAATCTCCGGGAACTAGAAGACCTCATCATTGAGGCTGTCTACACTGACATCATCCAGGGCAAGCTGGACCAGCGAAACCAGCTGCTAGAAGTGGATTTCTGCATTGGCCGTGACATCCGAAAGAAGGATATCAATAATATTGTCAAGACATTGCATGAATGGTGAGGCTGAAAGAAGGAGAAGGATATTTAGCATGTCCTTTGTGTCTCTGCTTGTAAAAATGTGATCTCTTGGTGTCAGCTGAGGGTTTGGGGGAGGCCTTCCTTATGACTGCCTGGGAGCTGGGGCTTTGGGACAGTGAGCAACAGAGGGGCTGCACTTGTGATTACAGCTATGTGGCGACAGGAATCATCACTTAAAGCCTCCTGGGACCTTGGTTGTAAAATAGTTCTCATCTTAAATGCAGCTGGGGGCTATTTAATAGTGGGCTGTAAAATGCCCAGGGTTAGCAGATAGAGCCTCTGCATCCTAGCTGTGTGATGCCAACCCTACACTTTCAAACTCAGAATGTCACTGTTTGGAAGATTCTTTGGGTAAGAGAACCCATGTTCAGAGTCAGTAACATATTGGGCTAGTGTTTGTAAAACACCGTGAGGGATATTGAAGACAGGAATGGGTTGTTCTAATTTGGAACACAGACACACACAGACTATTTGATAACTGTATTTTGGCTTATAAAAAGAATTGGGACATTTGTGGGTCTTCTGTTTTAATGGAATTTGTTATTTGCAAGAGCTGTCAAACATTCTACAAGGATTTATTATGGAGTGATTTAAATGACTTGGGCCTTGTAAAGCCAGATGGACTTAGGTTTAAAAGAGGGCCAGGATTAGAGTACAATTGGAGGTGAGGAGAATATGTTCCCAGGTAGGCATATGGCATGTTGGAGGTTCTGAAGCAGGGCAGGCAGGCTTTGTGCAGAGGGAGAGGGAAATTGTTTTCTCTAAAACCAACTGAATCTCTGGCTTATCCAGCCCAGCTTTGACTCTCTGGGGTCTAATGCCCCCTGAGTATCCCTTACTGAAGGTACTATTAGACCCAGGGCATGTGCTGCCCACTCTTCACCCCAAGTTTTATCCCAAGTGTGGCCCCAAACAACTTCCTTTTACAATATCTGACACAAACAGAAACTTTAAAAAGATATCATAAAACAATTAAATCAGAATAAACAGGAAGTAAGCTTAGAAAATATGGCTGGGTACAGCAGCTCACACCCGTAATCCCAGCACTTTGGGAGGCCAGTGCAGGGAGAATTGCTTGAGCCCAGGAGTTTGAGGCTGCGGTGAGCTGTGATCACACCACTGTATTCCAGCCTGGGTGATAGAGTGAGACTGTGTCTCTTAAAAATATAAAAATTAAAAAAGAAAAATATTTCTAACGCTACAATAGTCTGGCACACAAAATCTAATTTCTGGTCGTACTAAAGTTGGCTGTCCTATCTGTTTTTGAGATGGCCAACACAGTTTTCTCATCCATAGTCGTTTCTTGTTTTTAAGCCCCCAATATGTTTGAACCAGAGGTACCAGACTAACCCTTATCCCAGGACTTACTCTGTTGCCCAGGCTGCAGTACAGTGGCATGATCATATCCCACTGCAGCCTGAAACTCCTGGGCTCAAGTGATCCTCCTGCCCCAGCACTACAGGTGTGTACCACCGCACCTGGCTAATTCTTAAATTTTTTGTAGAGGTGAAGTCATGCTGTGTTGCCCAGGCTGGTCTAGAACCCCTGGCCTCAAGCCGTCCTCCTGCCTTGGCCTCCCAGAGTGCTGGGATTACAGGTGTGGGCCACTGCACCTGGCCTACTAGTAGAGAGTCTTAAAACTCATGTGTAGGCACTGGAGGTAGATTTGAAACAAAATTGTTATGTAGAAAGGTACCACAAATGTGACAAAATGCTTACAACTATTAGATCTTAAGTGGCAGGTATGTGGATATTCATTATACTATTCTTTAAACTGTTTTTGTTTTAAAATTTTCAAAGTAAAAGGTGGGGAAAATAAGTTAATGAGAAGTATGGCAATTAGGAAGTAACTTAAACTTCTGAGAAAAGGGGCAATCTCCAAAATAGGATGCTTTTAGAAAATGTTTTTTTCTGTTGAGAAAAGTGATTACTTAGTGCCATGTAAAATCTCTTCTACTTCCTTCAATCTTACATACTATAGAATCATTTCCCATGTGATACAAAGGTTAGAAATTAAAGCTGTATTTTAAGAAACTACCCCCAAGCCACAATATTTATCTCCTTATATCCTGTGGTGTGTATGTGGAAATGCTTCTCTTTTGGAAGGAGTTAAGGGGCAAGATCCTTGGCAGAGGGAGTACAAAGTGCTGGGGAGGGCTGTTGGGAAGGGAGATTTCTGAGGCTGGAAGAGACTTCCTAGGCCTTTCTGCAGCTTAGGGCTGGTTTTATCCTTTGTAGGTGTGATGGCTGTGAAGCAGTTCTGCTGGGCATCGAGCAGCAAGTTCTGAGAGCCAACCAGTACAAAGAGAACCACAACCGAACTCAGCAGCAGGTAGAGGCAGAGGTAAGGAAGGAAGGGAATGTTTGTTGTCTCTGCAGGGTGTACCCGTTTATTCCTTTGCAGTATTTTTGTTTTGTGAGTCTTGGTGTAGGTGAAACAAGCGGTCACCAGTAAACAGGCACTAGGCTAGATGCTGTGATGCAGTGATGAGTATGACATGGCTCCTGCTCTTGGCGTTCTCCATCTCCTTTCTGATTCCTGTCTGCAGAGGGTGATCCAGCTTGGAGAACAGAGAATGTTGTAGTTTCAGTACACATGCACTTTGCAGCTGTAGAGCAAAAGAAAAAAAGCTTGAGAATGGCTAGAAGGATGGTAGTTACTGGTGGAGTGGAGGGAGGGGTGAGTTGGGCTGGGGCACATGGGGCTTCAAGGCCTGGTGATGTTCTACCTCGTAAGTTGTGTGGTACATAGTTGTGCACAGTGTTCATTTTATTCCTCTTCCTGCCTATTATAAACTTTCAAAATGCATGATATATTTCATACTAAAAAAAAGAAGAAAGGGATAAAATGTGTTGGATGAGATGCAAGTGAAGACAAGAGGGTGTGGTTTTAGTGACACCTGGTTGTTCAGGACGCTCTTAGTCTCCTCGATGGATGCAGAGCTCCAGCCTTTGTGTTACGGGCATTTGTTTGTGTGCTTGTAGCCTGACATGAGAAGTGACCTCAGAATTTGTTTGGCCCTTAATACCAAAAGCATTGATCTTTGTTAGCTTTGGAAGTCCTTTTCTAGAATGGATAGGGCTTAAAGTGTTAATGGTATTTAATGAGTTTTAAAAATCAGGTGTCCCAGAGTGTGGCAGAGTGGGTCTCAGAATTCAAGCTAAGGAACATAAGAAATGAGGATATGTGCCTTTCAAAGGGGGATTTGTGAAATTTGATGAGTTCCCCTACACTGGTATATGTACTCCTCGAAAATAAAACCTATCTTATTTGTCTTTGCAAGACCAGCTCCTTGTCCCAGGCCTAACCCATAGTAGGTACTCAAATGGTGAACCGAATGTTTCTGGCACACCATGTAAGTGTGTCAGTGGACTGCTGAGCTATGCTTTTCATGAACTAGAGCTAATTGATTTTGAATACCACCCCCCACCTTATATACATACACTCCGTGGATGTTCTATGCATGGTCCATTTTTAATCCTAATTCTAGCCAAGGAAGTATGAGCTACATTTAGTTTAACATTAGCCAAAAGCAAAGACAATTAGGGAAATTACCCTCCTGCTTCTCTAATAGGCTATGCAATCACCTTCTTGGTGATGGTGGCCTCTCCTCTGACCTGGGATTGAGGTCTGAGCAAAGTAGGAAGGGCTAACCACTCTACTTTCTGTGTCTTCTTTCCTATAAATCAAACCCTGGAGAAAAATGAGGTTTGGAGGCTCACCACACCCTGCCTAACCTTGGGGTAGCCTGTGTGTAACCAATAGTCTTTAACCTTGCTGGGGGCATTGAGAGGGGCCTGGTCGCTGCTGCTGACTGGTGTGGTAGGTGGTGGGTTGGCATTGTGGTCATTAACAAAGATGAATGATACTAGTTTTATTAGAGTTTTGAACTGCTCAAGTTTGTGTCTGTGACAAATGGCACTGGACAAAAAAAGTTTGGCTAATGTTTGAGGCACACCCTGTAGTTACACAAGAGTAAAGTTTTTTAAATCATGGTTGTTTAAAAAGAGATCACACCAGCACACATGGGTTATCAGCGCCCCACTGGTGGAAAACACAGCTACCCCTGCTGGCAGAGCCTGATGCTGCTGGCAGGTGGTGGTAAGGATTTCAGTTTAAGAAAAACAAATCTGAGGAAAAGGCCAAGACCATCTCCACCACCAATTAAAACAGTCTGTTAACTTAATAGTCTTTTGGAAAATCTGGAACAGATGAATATGGGCAGAGGGAGAGAACATGGTCAAAGCTCAGAGCCTTGTCGGTTTTCCCAAGCCGTGAATGTGTGGTCTAGCTGCTCAGTGTAGGGTGCTGATCATGCCCTGCTTGAGGCACATGGAAGGTACTCATCAAATAGTTAACTGACTTGGAAAGAAAATAGATCTACAAAGAACAAAGATAATTTGTCATATTCTGGCTGTCTTTTTGCTTCTGTTACCCTTGGCCTAACTTTTTTAGCCATTTTCTCAACTGAGTTGGTGATCTTTTCTTTATTCTTAGATTGCTGTTCTCAGAGTGAAAAATTCTATATCCCCCTCCCCTCAATCTTATTTATAACAGCAGCTTTCTTCTGCTGAGTTGTAGCTTCAAGAGCTCTCCTTAATGAAGTCAGTCCTATCACAAACTACCTAAGAATATTCTCTCCTTTAACCTTTCATAGAAGTAACACATATTATTGAGTTATAGTTCCAGTATACCTGGGGGAGATAGAACAATAACATTATGAGCTGTTTGATTATCTCTGAGCAGGCACTCTGGAGGGAAGGTAAAAATAAGTCATAGCATCACAAAGGACCTCTTTATTTAAATTTGATTTTAGAACATATTTTTCTTTATATTTGTATGTGCCTGTGTCTGATGTTCTATGGACTGTTAATATATAGCTATTGCTACATTTACAAAATAGGCTATGTTCCAGTCATGTAGGTAATAAAACCTAATTGGGCAAAGTAAGCTCTGTTTTCCATTACATGGAAAATCCCCCAGGAGTTAAGTTAGTGACAGTCTTGGGGTTTGTTGGCTAGTATAGTGCACCAAAAGTATGCCTCCTGGTACATCTTGGAGAGGGGAGCTCTCCATCTCCCAGTTCTCCTTTTCTTTCTAGCACTTTTCCAACTGTGGGCTGCCTTTCCTGTTGCCTACCTTTACTTTGCCCCACAACTGAAGGATGCGTTCCTGCCCCAGGAAGCTCTTCACACTTCCTTTTGCTTAAATATTTAAGGCCTCTCATAGAGCTAGGCTGCATTTTTGCTGGTAAGCAAAATCCTACTTGAAAATTCCTGAGGCCCGTGTTTTAAGGAACTTGACAAACTCTAGGTCATCAGGGAGTAAGTGGGATGGGGATGGCCTATAAGCCAGCCCACAGAAGGACGAAAGTCAGAAGGGACCAGACCAAATTTAGGCCAAAGAAGACAAGCATGGGGTGACATGGCCCGGCTTCAGACCAAGGAATGAACACAGAGACATAAAGACGCAGACACACGACTGCAGCCCGTACAAAAAGACACAGACACCACAGGACAGTATAAGGCTGCAGCGAAAAGCTCTCGCTGAAGCTGTTTATTTATAATACAGGCTGTTTGGCAACTGTCCCACCGCAAATTCTTTGTTCCCACACCGTCCGGACTCAACACGTCCCAGTTCCTTGTTGTTTCGTCTCCGGCAAACAAATGTTTGCATCTCAATTCTCTAGCCCCTCCTGTTTGCAGAGAGAGGACGCTCTGGACTTGCGTGCAAGGTCACAGACATGTTCTTGAGAAGAACAACAAGGAAACTTTCCCAGACAAAGGTATCCTCTACAATGGGGGGTTGATACTTGTCATCAATTGAAGGACAGCTCTCTGGAAGAGGAATTAGACTTCTTAAGAAAGTCTACAAGGCTGAAACAGGTTCAATTGATGGACCTGCCGGGGCAGCCAATCTGGAGTCCTGGAAGGAGCTAGCCACACTTATACCTACCCAGGTATTGGAAGAAGGTTGCCTCTTAAGATTCCCTTCAATTATGGGAGTCTATCATTGGTTCAGCAGTCTCCTTTGTGAGTTCTGTGTGTTTAAAATGTCTAACAATAAAGCCGACTTGAGCAGGGCGTCTCTAATAGAACCAGTGTGAGGGCCACGGCACTCCCTGACCCAGGCCGACTCTGTGGAGGATAAAGGACTCATTTCCTAGGCTTAAGAGACACTTGCCCAGGAAGCCCTCTTTTCCTCCATGGGTTGTTTACATTATGCCTCAAAGTGGTAACGACTGTAGAGCACTCAGATTTGTTGGTAGTCTTCTCGAAGGGGCGAGACATGCACACCTGAAATACAAAGGAAACACAGTGGTATATGCGGTGATTAGAGAGTGAGAGGAGCTGCCAGGCAGGCAGGTTGAGGGGAGGCAGGTCAGTGTGGGCGGGCGTGGTTGCGCAGGTTGTATGGAAGAGATGCTGACTCTCCAGGTGGGGCCGGAGGGGCTGAGGAGGAGTTGTGCCCTCCTTGGAGTGCATGAGAAACAGGAAGCAGAGATGAAGTGAATGATTGCAAGTGTGGTGCAGGGGACTAGCGTGGCATGAGTTGAAGAGTGGGGAAGGAAGGTATCAGATCTCGAGTGGTGTTTCAGAGCTAGAGAAAACCAAGTTTTTCCCTGGGCCAAGTCTCCTTTCTTTTTCTTGCATACCAGCGTCACTGAGCACCCAAAAGAGCCTTTTGAGAGAGCAGTTTCTACAAGAGAAAACTGCTTAAAGAAGTATAAATAGGCATTTGAATGAAAGGGGAGAGTGTCATGCTTCTGTCTACTTGATTGCTCAAAAACATTTGACAGGATCCCTAATCAAAGACTTTTACATAGAATTGGGTCACCATGAGATGGGGAGGCATGGTGGGGAGTGATGGTATAGACAGAAAGCAGAGGATCAGTAAGCTTTCTGTGGCTGGAGATGGTAACACACAGGTTCCATCAGGAACTAGAGTGAAAACCGTGAGTTCATGTTATTGTAAAGGAAGATGACATTGGAAATGTTGAACTTTGAAAAGATTAAGCATATACATAGCAAAACAGTAAAACAGCAAAGCATTAGGGGTTGTTTAAACTGGTTGGTTGCTAAGAGGTGACAAGGTGGTGAAGGTGCCATAGGCTGAGTTTGCTCCTTGGCAAGCAGGTCAGGGACTGGCCTCTCAGCCCAGCCACAGATGCTCTGAATCTGAAGCTAGCCCAAGTCACCTGAGGCCACCATAAAAACAACAGGCCACCTGTTGTTACTTTCTGGTAGGCCACTAATGACTTTATGCTACAGAAACACAAGTGCAATAGATTGAACATATGTCCGTTATTTGGAGATTGATTAAATGCTTTTTCCTTACTCATGTAGGGCTTATGAGACTGTCAGTGAATCTAATATATATTAAATGAAAGAATCACTACAGAAAACTATGTGTAGTATAAGTTGATTTAGTAAAAATTATTACACAAATAACTTGAGGAAATAAGGCTATTCTTTATCAGCCAAGGTGAAATTAAGGACATTTTTTTGGTTTTGTTTTAAAAATTTTTAGTAAAACTATTTTGCTGAATGGGAAAGGTAATTATTTCCTGGAAAGATATTATTTTTGTAAATATAGACCTTGTAACAAAAATTTGTTAGTTTCCTAATGTCTTATTTGGTTAAAATTTTGTCAGCTTTTGGGGAAACCTTAAAACAAGTTCCCTCAGATAATGTTTAAGTTCAAGGATCTTTTAACACTTTGAAAGTCAGAGGTAATTGACATGCAAAGAAACAAACTTAAGTCATGCTGTTACCTCTTATTAAGATTTTAATTAATTTTCCTGATACTTAGCATATCAAACTGGAGAAGCCTTGGAATATTATTTTATAAAGCAATGATACTTGAGAAATCACATTTCTTAATCTCTCCTTCAAGGCCATCAGAATATGCCTCAAAGTAAACCAAACAAACGGTAACAAACACTCTTCTGTAAGAGAAAGAGTGGTAAGCCAGCCACTTGCTTCAAATTCTTCACTCACTCACTCACCAAGTGACTTTACTGAACAAAAGATACCAAAGCAGCAGTGAGTCACCAGGAGGGTAGGGGGATTCCCAGGTGGTGTTCTGCAGTCTGACAGGACACTAGATAAACGCGGGCTTGACTGAGACTGCCCTCCATATTGGTGGCCCCAGCCCACAGTCCTCTGTTGCTCTTGTTTTAGAAAAGGATACAGTGTTGATTATGGTTGCTGCAGTTTGGAGCATGGCTGTTTGCCCCATCTCAAAACAACAACAACAAAAAACAACCTGTAGTCTAGGCGAGTTTGATTGTGCAGATGATGGCTTCACTCCAGGAACCTAATTTTTGTCTCACTCTCATAGCATTGTTTCATCTCTGCATTTGGTTGTCTCTTACTCAAGATCCTGATTATTCTGACTGTTCAGAATTTTTGACCCTGACAACTCTATTCTTGCTCTGTAGAAACCAAGCCTCCTGCGTCCCAGAGAACAGGGAAGCCGTCAAACAGGGAAGTCTCTTCACTTTCTTACCAACGAACATATGCCTCACTCTGCACCAACTGTCTCTTTTTCTTCCTGCTAATGATTTTTTTTTAAGAAGGCTAATATTTATTTGACTATACAACTCTTCCCTCCCACCTCTGTCCTCTTCCTGCTTCTCCTGCCCCTTTTCTTCTTTTCAACTTGCTGAAGAGCAAAGGTGTGAAAGATCCATTAGAACCAGTTCCATTAGAACTGGTGTCGGGGAATGTGTATATAAACAGGTACTCCTGGAGTACATAGTTGGTAGAAGTGCAGATTAATGCAATGACTTTTCAGAAGGCCATATAGCAATACTGATTAAAGTGTAAAATGTATGTCCACTTTGATCTGGAAGGCTCACTTCCAGAAGTATGTCTCCATAGATGGTCACAAAAGTTTGCAAAGGTAAACATAGAAGGCTGTTAATAGTAGCACCAAGAAACAAACTGGGAACCAATTTAAAAATTGGAGAACATTCATAATAGAGTAATACACAGGTGTTACAGAGAATATGTGTTCTGACATGGAAAAATATTCAGGAGCTCCTTAAATATGTTTGTGCCCCTAATTCATTAAGTGAAAGAAGGTAAGCTGCAAACAGTGTGATAGCATTTTGCTAGTTCTTTTACTACATTTTCTTCATTTATCACTTAGTTCTCTGAAGTTCATCCTCTACTTACTTATTCAGGAAGATTTCTTGGAGCTGTATTATTGAGGTTCTTGTGAAAATATTTGTGGTTTTATACGTGAATAACAGCTGAATATAGAATTCTTGAGTCAGTCTTCCTTTTTTTAAGGACATTTTAATCACTACTTTCTTTCATCTTTGGTATTGTACCTCTTTGCCAAATGGTTTACTTCTACTTGTTTCAACCAAGAAAGCATTTGTTCCACTTTTTTGTTTGACTTATTTCCATGTCTTCCATCAGTAGAGTCTATGCTTGTTTCTCCTCACCTGGGTTTCTGAAGATAATTTCAGATTTTCTTGCGGGGGATTTTAGCCTCCTTTCTGTGTGAGAGCAGGTTTTGGTGAGTTTCTGGTGCATACGGGCTGAGCACACCAATTCTGTATCTCCCTCCAGGTTACCAACATCAAGAAGACACTCAAAGCCACGGCGTCTTCCTCAGCTCAGGAGATGGAGCAGCAGCTGGCTGAACGGGAGTGTCCCCCTCATGCTGAGCAGAGGCAACCCACCAAGAAGATGTCCAAAGTGAAAGGTCTGGTCTCTAGCCGCCACTAGGGCCGGCTGGGGCAGCTGGCACTCACCAGGCCTGGGTCAGGTGGGGAGGGGACACCAAGGGCCTATTTCCTCCCCTCTCTACCTGCAGTGAGTTCCAGACCTGCCCACCCCCTCACCAGCGCCTCCCCACCCTGTTGGTACTGTTCCAGAAAAACCGTTACTTCTCTCCCTCACCTACTTCCTCTTCCCCAGTTGTTCCCTTCAGACTCAGGGGCTCCACTAATGCCATCCTAACAGGGTCAGACACTGCCCAGCTTCCCTTCAGGAGGTTCTTGTCTCTGTGTAAGGGCTTGTCTCCCTCCCAGTTTTTCTTTTGCTCCATGTCATTTTGTCAGGCTGGTCATAAGCCAGAGGCAGCTTTTACCGGCCCCCAGGGATGACTGTGGAGGAGACCCTTCCCTAAGTAAGGAGGGGGTGTTCTTTCTCCAGCCCCATGTACCACAGTACGCAATGGTGCAGGCCATCTCTAGCCAGGTTTCAAAATGCTTCATTTCCCCTCTCCTGCCTTATCCCTTGTTGGCAGCTCCAGTTCAGGCCATGGAGGGATGTGGTGCTGGGCTATGTTTACTAAACCTGCGGGTTTTCAGCCTCTTAAGCCCAGCTCTGATCTCTCATTAGTTGGGAGCACTGGGTTGACTAACCTCTGGTATCTGGGCAAAATAGGGGGTGCTGTGGGTCTGCTGGGTGGCAGAAGTTGTTTCCTTCAGCTCGTGTTCTCTGCTGGCTGCTCTTCCTGCTGCCTCTGACTACTCAGCCTTGTTTTTGGTGCGTAGGCTGCAGCTGCCCACTGGGGCTGTTGGTCAACACTTGCTCTCCCAAAACCTTTAATTCCTCCCGGCTGCACCTGGGGTGGGGCGGGTGGTGGTGCCGAGGCCCCTGTCTGTCGCACGACCTGTTGCTGCTTCTGTCTGTCTCTTTCCATCCCTCCTTGGCTGATGCCCCAGAGCCCTCTGATGATGGCATTCTCCTGGCAAGAGAAAAGGACTTAACTAGACTTTCTGAACTTGAACAGTTTCAGGTTATATTTTAATTTTTTTTTTTGTACAGGTTCTGATTCTAATACATTTCAACATGCTTTTCCCCCCTCGTGTCAATATTTGTTATAGACTCATCGCCGGGGACTGTTCACCTGGTTAGAGGGTGGCATGTGTGTTTGTGTGTGTGTTTTGTTTTGTTTTTTTAAGGGGAGGTGTAGGTCCTGGACTGATATTAAAGTTCATTGAGGAAAAAGCACATTTTAGAACAAAAAAATAAAAGTGTAGATTTAATGTATGTGACTGTGGAGCATGGGGCGGCATAGCTGGTGGATCTTGAGGGGCTGGATTAGGGTGGTTCAGGGAAATGTGATGCTATTTCAGTACCATGGTTAAAAAATGGAATTTTCCTTTTTCTAAAATGTCCAGCAACTGCCTACTGTTGATGGAATGTTAAAGTGTTCTTGTTTCCCTTTTAAGCTGGTCCATGTGCCCAAATAACATTATGCCCAACTGGAGAGTTAAGTTTAATTCCCAAAGTATGTTTCATGAAACCCCTGTCAGAAACTCTGTGGAAAAGGGGTTCTGTTACATTAAATAAATTTGGCACTCCCTGCATCCCATATCCTCATTGGAAATTCATTGTGAAGGTCTCCCAGAAGTCCTGGGTGAGGAAGCCTTTGCCACATTCATTTCACCACTAAATCCTTTAGGGGAATAACTAGTGGAACACATTTGGGGGAAATTTTGGGAAAAGGATATTTCTCAAAAACCCTAAGAGAAGTTGAACAGCTCCCAGCCTTATAGGTTTTTCCGACTATTCGTTCTAGACCCAAAATGGGCAGACTTACTCTGAGCAATTGTCTTTCATCCAGCAGATAAGGAAAGGCAGCTTGACTTGTATGAAATGTGTAACCATTTGTTCTTTGACTGCTCTAAGGAGCTATAGGGTCATCCTTTTCCACGGTTCTGCTGCTTCCTTAAAAATTATGATGGTTGCCGGGCATGGTAGCATGCAGCTGTAGTTCCAGCTGCTTGGGAGGCTTAGGCGAGAGGATCGTGAGTTTGAGCCCAGCCTGGGCAAAATAGCAAGACCCTGCCTTCCTTCAACGCTTCAAAAAAACAATGATGACAATAATATTAATAACACATTTGTAAAGTGCTTTGCAGAGGGTCTTCACATACAATAAGTCATTCAGTCCCTTCCATGCAAAAATCTTCTGAGGTTGGTGTGGGTAAGTATTATTACAATTGTTCTCACTACATATGAGGAAACGGAAACCCAAAGATTCAAAGTGCCCTGATGGTAAGTGGCAAATGAGGACTCCTAGATCTCCCAACCTATACATCCTGCCTCCGTTTCTGAGTTGCGTTCTCGTTTAGAATCTGCTCTTTACACTAACCCTTGGTACCCCTCTACTTGCATGTTCCTCTGAGGGCTCATCTTGCTTTTAACTGACTCCCCGCACAGCTCAGCATCTGCTTCCCAAACCCACCCAGCCACTTGATAAGGAAGCAGAGAGTATAGGATTGGAGGCTCCAGAAATTGTGAGAACAGTAGCCCACCCAGAATGTTCATTGTTCCACTGGGATTCTGGTAGGAGGTCTGGCCTCTGAACTCTGCAGTTTCCCATCTGGCATGCCGTGATTGCTGTGCTCAGGTCTGAAATGTGCAGAGGGTTTTATACACAAATACAGCATTCATAAGAGATGTCCTCATCAACAGTGAGATATCGTAGGTTGGGAAGGAGACACTGTGGTATTGAACAGAATTAGCTCAGTGGCAGTGCCTTTGGGCTGGCTCAAGTCACCTTCTTTAACTCTGAGCTTTCTGCCTGAAGCCCAAAAGGTTTTTACTGTCCAGATGGAAAGTGTCGTTTCCTACTTGGGTAACATTAGGGAGTTGGTCAGATTCCCCGATGCAGACTATACTTGTGTTCCTAATCCAAGATGATCATCACTGATAGAGATGGAGAAAAAAGCAAATATGTAAAATTATCACAAGCAGTTTATCATCTAGCTTCTTTGGTCACCATCCAAATTCCTATGACTCAAAAGTTTGGGGAGGGGATGAGAATCCTATTGAGGTGCTGGGTTGGTGCCTGAAACCAAGCCAAAATGTTTGAGTTCTTACACTTAAAATTGTTATTCTAACAGTCTGAGACTTCAAATTTTTTTTAAATTCAGCAATTGATTGATTTCTACTAGTCGAAGGACGCATCACACTGCTCAGGGTATTTGAGTTTCCAGTATAGCCTGCCTTGAGCAGTCTGTGATTGTACCTGTGTCTTCCTGGGGATGCTGTGTATAGCCATCAGCACCTACTACTTCATTAAATCTTTTCCTGTAGTTATGCTTGAGATATGCAGATTGAAATACACATTTGATTATAAATTTCATTTTATATCTCTGTTATATTACCCTTAGGGCATTAAGTGGATCTTTTAAACTTATGTCTGTTAAGTAGATTGTCTATAACTTGACCTTGGGACAGTAAATGTAATGCTAACAAAGGATTTATTATGAAAAGGGAGTGTTGGGTCTTAATGTTAGGGATGAGAAGTGCTCTCCTTGGTTAAGAATGAAACTGACAAGGAAAGAAATGATGGGGAAAGCAAAGATAGGAGGCTTTTCTTCGGGTCATTTATGCCCATCCTTGCATTGCTTTTCTCTAGCAAAACCCCACTATGGGCTGGCTAATGACTTCCCTTTCTTCCTTGTACAACAGCTGCAGAGTGATGCCACTACAGATCTGTGGTCTCTCAAACTGGGTCCTCAGTGATGTTTAGCCATCCTGTCATCTCCTCCTAGTGAGCTTTCTTTTAAAAGTTCTACCATTTTCTTGCAATAGTTTACCTTATCACACCCCTCAGACTTTTTCAGTGGGTGACTGTACTTTTCTACTTCATAGCGAAATTGAGAACGTTGAGTGGGGAAACCCTCAGTTTCTTGTCTTCCACCTATAGGCTTTCCTACATCTATCCTTCCCTCCTCTGTTCTTTTCATAGTGGAAAAGACGTCCCTCCTTCCATGTGAATAACATTCATCCACCTGTGCCTTTTTCTTTTTTTTCTATTCACCCCACCTTTTCTCTCAAAAGTTTCACATCTACATCTTTAGTCTCTCCTCTAATGGCTGTATGTGATGACAAATACTACACCTTAAGGACACCCTCCCTGAACCTGATGTCCTTTTCCAGCCACCACTTTTTTCATCTTTAGTAACCAAGCTTCTTGAGAGTTGTCTACCTGTTCTGTCTCTACATCCTCCCTCATCCACACCTAAACTCATTGGCCTGTGGTGTCTGTGCTAACCAACCACTGATCATTTTCTTGTCAAGGAGACCATTGATCTCCAACTTGCCAACATTCTCAGTCTTTATCTGGATTGATCTTTTTAGTACAGTTGGCTTTGTTAAGCCCACTTCTTTAAGCATTCTTCTCTTAGTTTTCATGGCCCCAATCTCTCCAGATTTTCCTTGTGTTCCTCTGCCTATTCTAAAATTTCTTCAGGGGCATCTCTTCCTTTAGAGTCCAGTCAGATGTGTTTCCTATGGTTGCATCATGACCTTCTTATGTTACATCCATACACTCCCTAGGTTATATGATTTGCTCCCATGGTTCCACTTTCATTTATAACACCCAAATCTCTATCTATGGCTCATTCTGCCAGCATGAATAGCCAAGAGCCAACTGGGCATTTCTATTGCCATCTCCCAGGTCTAATCCTATAGTCAATAATTGGTGCCCACCATTCACCAAGTGTATTAGTTTGCTAGGGCTATCATAACAAAATGCCACAGACTGAGAGGCTTAAACAACAGAAGTCTATTTTTCCTTGTGTTCTAGAGGCTAGAAGTCCAAGATCAAGGTGTCAGCAGGTTTGGTTTCTCTTGAGGCCTCTCTTGGCTTCAGATGGGCATCCTCTTGCTGTGTCCTCACATGGCCTTTTCGCTGTGCATACACCTCTCATGTCTCTTTCTGTTCTTATAAGGACACTAGTCATATGGAATTAAGGGTCCATCCTTAGGACCTCATTTAAACATAATTACCTCTTTGAAGGCCCTCTCTGTAAATACAGTTATAGTATCGCTTAGGACTTTAACACACGAGGTTTTTTTGGGGGCGGGAGGGCGTAGTTCCGTCCGTGACAGCCATTTATCTGAGCCAGAACCTGGGGTTCATCCTTAACTCCTTCCTATTCCGTATCTGATTCACGACATACCCTGACTGTTCCTCAGGCATACTTGGAGATACTGTGGGTTCAGCTCCAGACCACTGCAATATTGCAATAGAGCAAGTCACACAAAGTTACTGGTTTCCCAGTGCATATAAAAGTTATGTTTATAATCTACTTCAGTCTGTTTAGTGTGTAATAGCATTATGTCTAAAAAAAGTACATGCCTTAATTAAAAATACTTTATTGCTAACAAATGCTTAATCATCTGAGTCTTCAGTGCACCATAATCTTTTCCTGGTGGAGGGTCTTGCCTTGATGCTAATGCTTGCTGAGTGAGCAGGGTGGTGGTTGCTGAAGGTTGGGGTGGCTATGGTAATTTCTTAAAATAAGACAATGATGAAATTTGCCGTATCAATTGACTCTTCCTTTCACAAAAGATTTCTCTGTAGCATGTAATACTATTTGATAGCATCTTACCCACAGTAGAACTTCTTTCAGAATTGGAATTCATTGTCTCAAACCCTGCCACTGATTTATCAACTAGGTTTTGTAATATTCTAAATCCTTTGTGGTCATTTCAGCAATGTTCACAGCACCTTCAGGAGTAGATTCCATCTCAAGAAGCCACTTTCTTTGCAACTCCCCATCTATTCAAGTTTGATCATGAGATTGTGGCAATTCAGTCACATCTTCAGACTCCACTTCTAATTCTAGTTCTCTTGCTGTTTCCACCACGAACCTCTGAAAGTCATCCATGAGGGTTAGAATCAGCTTCTTCCAAACTCCTCTTAATATTGATATTTTGACTTCCTCCCATGAATCATCAGTGTTCTTAATGGCATCTAGAATAGTGAACCCTTTCCAGAAGGTTGTCAATTTACTTTCCCCAGATCCATCCATGGAATCACTATCTATGGCAGCTATAGCCTTAT